CCTGGACAGGTGTCCAAGAGGCCCAGGCAGAGACTGTGAGGCTTCTGGTTATCTCTACTCAGATGCCAAAGCATGTCTTCCACCACATTTTTTTAGTCAAGCACATCACTAAGAGCAACCCTGATTCAACAGGAAGGCAGTTAGATTCCACCTCTCAATAAGAGAAATAGTAAGACATTGCAGTAGACTACAGTTGGCTCTCTGGCCATAAATTTCTACCACATGCAGTATATACTTTGCCCCTCTCAAGAGCCATAGAAATCTACTGTTATACAATTGACTGAAAACCCAGCTAAGTCATGTCCAGTGGCCTATTACCCTCATCTCCTCAACATGTGGCCAGCTCACAGTGAGGAGAAGGGTATAAACATGTGGGCACTTCCCTTCAGACAGTGTGGGTTGTAAGGGGTGGCACCCTGCAGGCACTGGTCCGAGCAGTTAGTTATCCCCGGCGAACACCTGGTTTATTTCTTTGATTAGGGCCCTGTGTTTGTCTCTGGAAACAGTGCCTCCTGCTTCTGCACTGTGCCCTCTGGGCTCTAACTACTGTCTGTCAACATCCGTTTTTCTTAAATGCCTGAGTTTGCAGTTGATCAATTTCTTTGCCTATTTTTCTGTTATAATCGTTGAAAATCCAACGACCCTTTAAAACTTTTTTTTCTTCTTTTCTTTCTTTTTTTTTTGACCAGTAAGGGGATCGCAACCCTCGGCATGTTGTGGTCTGCACCACGCTCAGCCAGTGAGTGCACCGGCCATCCCCATATAGGATCCGAACCCGTGGCCTCAGTCCTACCAGTGCTGCACTCGCCCGAGTGAGCCATGGGGCCGGCCCTAAAATTTTTTTTTCTAATTCTGCCCTTTTGATCCAAGAAATTACCCTGCTGTACATCTTTAAAAAGCACGGGCTTCCCTTGTACTATAATGCATTATACCAATGCTATCTCTGTATTAGGCCCTTTTTTCTCTGGCCTCCACTTCTGTCTCAGGCAGCTATTTCTTAAGAAGTTTTATTGTTTATCAGGTACTGTCAATGTATCACATCCTGTGGTACTTAGAATACTGGGAATATTTTTGTTTGGTTTTTTTTTACAAAATACTGTGATTCTTGGCACAAAGTAGTTTGTGTCTTTGAAAATGTTTTCTTGGAAAAATGTTGGATTGAAAAGTAGTTTTATTTCAAACTCAGCACGTTCTGGCTCCTTTACATTTTCTTTAAATTTTGTTTGAAAATTGAACATCTTTGTTTTATTGTTACTTATTTATTTATTCATGGATGGCCTTTGTGGGGATCCAAATCCTTGACCATAGTGTTATCAAAACTGTGCTCTAATCATCTTAGTGATCTGGCCAGCCAGCCATCTTTATCTCTCTTCTCATATTTTCTCAGTGACAGAGGAGACCAGGTAGCACTTTTCCCATTTTTCACAGAATTCTCCTTTGGCTGACCCCTGAGAGGTTGAGATATCCTTTCCGTTTTCCATGCTATCAGGCAATAGTGTGGCCCATCTCCTTCAGCACTCCGTTTATTTCTGGTAATATATTTTGTGCTGAAGATTCTTTTGGCTGGTGTTAATATTTCCACTTAAGGTTTTCATTGTGTTTGTGTAGTATTTTAATTTTTTACCATTCAGTCTGTTTGTATCTTTGTATTTGAAGTGTATGTCTCTGGATAGCATATCATTGGGCCTTACTTTCCTATAAAGTCTGGTAGTTTTTGCCTTCAGTAGAATATTTAAACTAATTCTATTTAATCTTATTATTAAAAGGGATAGATATGTCTGCCATTTTGCTATTTTGTTGTTTTTGTCATCTCATCTGCCTTTCAATCCTTTGCTTTTCCTCTTTTCCTTTCCTAAATTATTTTTCAGTTAATGAAATATTTTTAAATATTTTAGTTTGTTCCATCTATTAGTTT